CACCAAAATGGGTCCAAATAAGGGTGAAGTGAGGCTCCTCAAATTTGCAATTTGATCCTCTCTATAATATCTCACTCGTCCAAAACCAACATTACACCATCATCCGAGAATTATGAACTATTCAGAGGATTTCACTTTAATTTCAGAGGCTGTAACTGCTGACCTGTACAGAGTGCAAAGGATCAAATGCTTCTCTCTCTCTCTCTCTCTCTCTCTCTCTCTCTCTCTCTCTCTCTCTCTCTCTCTCTCTCTCTCTCTCTCTCTCTCTCTCTCTCTCTCTCTCTCTCTCTCTCTCTCTCTAGCTCAAACACAAACATTTCCTGCCTTTCCTTCACACATACATAAAAATAACAGATATATATTAAGTCACCAATTCCCAGGGCGAATCACCTTATGGGATAACTTAATCTTAACAGCTCATTGGTTATTTGCAATCTATCATTGTTCATAAAGAGGCCAAAGTGCAGCACTGATAGCACCTGTTTTCACAATGACTCTCTTTGTTCAGTTTGTCACTGTTTGCCTTCCCACTCAGTATTTCTATCCTCTGCCGTTTGTGTTCTTGTTACTAGGCGACAGGAGTGAGACAGACTTTGTGTAACACTATGTTGAAAGCCTCCAGGGCAAAGATTAGTCAACCTATTGGGTGTGTCATGTTGAAAAATAACCTCTCAGGGCAAGCCCAGGGTCATACATTTGATCTGGTCAAATAACTTGCACTTTTCTTCAAGTTGTCGGGCTTTGTTTGAGTTCTGGTCGACTAGCCTCACTCCGAGCGTTTTTTTCTCCAAGCCCTAATGCTTTCCACACTGGAGCTGTTAACCATTGTTCACCCTTCCCTGACAACCCCGTTACGTAACACAGATTTCCGTAAATCCACATCCCACTTCCCAGAATGTGAATCCAGTTACCATGACCACTGCATAAACAGAGTGCTGTTATTGTAAAAGATGTCAATTGTTCTAAAAGCCCAGTAAAGTCACCAAACAACACAACTTGTATTCACCAGCAGATTTATTTTTCAGACATGTCACACACAAACACACACAATTCTAAATGGCAAAAGTTGCAAACTTTAACAGTAGCTTCAATTTGTATCATATCTCAGTTTCCTTTCAGTACAGTTTCACTCATCTCATGTAACAGCTTTTATTAGCAGGAATGTGTGTGTATTGCAGTGTGTGTGTGTCTGGGAACAGCTTGTCCTGCCAGTTGGACCTCCTAGCTGGAACTGCGCACAGTGGTGGTTGTGACTGTGGATTTTGAGCCCCCTGTGAAAAAAAAAGGAAAAAGGTCATGATGGCATTGCTTCACGCTGACTGTACAGTTGTTCTGTAATGTAGTCCTAACAGAGATATCTCTTACCTGTAGCCATTGGTCTAGAATGAGAGGGAAGAAAAAAAAGAAAATGAGTAAAGTGGGCATTCTTTTCTGCATAAATCATTACATGTTGGCCTAAATGCTCTTACAAGTCCATGCCCCTGTGTCATTTCATGTACCTGGAATCCTCTGTGTCCAGCAGGCTCCTGTAGGTTGCGATCTCCTGCTCCAGCCTGGTCTTGATGTCCAGCAGCATTCTGTAATCCTGGCCCTGCGTGTCGATGCTCTGGCGCACGTTGCCTAGTTCGTTTTCAAGCATGTTGATTGTGTTCTGGTAGCCGGAGAGCATGGCGCTGTAGCGACCGTCTGTCTCGGCCAACGTGTGCTCCAGAGCCCCTTTCTGTTAGGAGAGGGGAAAAGGAGCTCAATTCAAGTACATTAAATGTGACTCATAGATTGATTCATATTTGTAACAGTTTACTTTAGTGTATCTTTGGGATATTTAAAAGCTATAGTCTGTGAACACAAACCCCGCCTTGGATGTCAAACAGACACTAAAGCTTATTTGTATTCCCTTTTCTGTGATGGAAGGCATATAGGGTTAGGTGTGTAGGGGTTTGCATGCTTGTGTGTTTTAACTGCAGTAGTGGGCTGTCTTGCAGGGAGTGTTCAGGATTTACTCCAGCTTGGCACAGATAATCCATGGGAGTGTTGCTTTTTGGGTCATCCAGTTCAGCATTCCTTCAGAGTTTTTTAAGCTCTTTTATGTCTCTCAGAATTTGAGCAGATGACTGTGAAATGTTTTCCTCAGCACCCTTCACTCCCTTCTCCACAGCTCCTAACACTCTTATCTTTCTCTCCCTCCCTTCATTCTTCAGAAAAAGCCTCCCTCTTTTACCCTCCCTTTTGCTCTTTGAACCTCTGTAACTGTTTCTCTATTCCCTCTGACAAGACAGCGATCCAGGATTTGTGCTCATATAAGGCAAGATCAGAACAGATGTTTTGAGTTCAGGGTTTTCTTTTTTTCCTCACCATGCTGAGCTGAGACTGCAGCTCGATCTCCAGGCCCTGCATTGTGCGCCGCAGGTCGTTAATCTCTGTCTTGGTCGTCTGGAGTGTCTCTGTGCTGACGGCCACTTCCTTGGACAACGTTGTAGACTAGAGAAAAGTACAAAACACAGTTGAGAAGAAGAAGAAGAAGCCTTGGTGATGCTCGTCTTACTCTCCCAGGAGATTTTGTTTAATTACAGGTTAGAGTGTTGAGGGCGTTAACCCAGTCATTTGTAACGTGTGGGATATGATTGTTTATGGAAAAGTCTTCTCACCTTATCATTAAACCAGGCCTCCTGGTCACGACGGTGTTTGTCAGTGATTCCTTCGTACTGGGAGCGGATCTCATCCAGGACTTTGTTGAGGTCTTGCTGGGGTGCGGCATCCACCTCCACGTTGATTGTGCCGGTAAGCTGAGAGTGCATTGCTGCCAGCTCCTAAAGAACCAGGGGTGAAGAAGTGAAGATGTTGATGCAGTATTTTAAATAGCTCTACAGATGTGAGGAAGCATGCTTCTGTTATCAGAGCAAGTAACGATTTTTACTGAAGCAACAGTCACCTCTGCGTGGTTCTTCTTAAGGAAGGCCAGCTCATCCTGCAGGCCTTCGATCTGCATCTCCAGGTCAGACTTGGTCAGGGTGGTCTGGTCCAGCAGGCGGCGCAGGTTGGCGATGTCAGCCTCAACTGATTGGCGCATCATCTGCTCATGATCGAATCTAAAAAAGAACACCGATATGAGATCAGCATTGGACATTAACACAATGTAAACAGTTCCACAGATGTTTGAGAATGTCCTGCTTACTTGGTTTGGAAGTCATCAGCAGCCAGTTTGGAGTTGTCAATCTGGAGCAGGATGCTTGCATTGTCGATGGTGGAAGCTCCAATCTAAAGGGATGCAGAACAGGAAATAGTAGTTGGTCACATGGCAAAAGTACAATTTGAACACTTCATTGTGCAGGTTTGTTCTGAATTACACAATAATATATCAGGTAATGTCCCATGCCGCATCAACCTTCTAAGTCCCATGGTTACAACATAGTCATATTCCCATGCACATTATTCCACACTTCATTTTGAGCTTTTACAAATCATACACAATCATTAATCGTCCATCAAAAGACCAAGTATTCAGCAGCATAAGGAATCATGCAGCCTAGCCTAACTAACCTTTTTACATTCCCACCTTGATAATCATTAACAGCAAAGCAAACATTTGACTTGTCTGGTGTTTAGGGCTCGAGGCTGGCACATACCTTGTCCTTCAGGTCATTGATGATGGCCCAGTAGTTGCTGTGGTCCCTCTCTGCTGCGGGTCCCTTCTTCTCATAGTACTCTTTGATCTGCACTTCCAGCTTGGAGTTGGCTGCCTCCAGAGAGCGGACCTTGTCCAGGTAGCTGGCCAGACGGTCGTTCAGGTTCTGCATGGTGGCCTTCTCGTTCAGGTGCACAGAGCTCTGGTCCAGGGCGCTGTTCAGGTCGAACCCACCGCTGCCGAAGCCCATGCCGCCCCCCATGCCACTCCCCATGCCGCCCCCCATGCCACCTCCATACCCGGAGGAAACGGTGCGCATGTTGGTAGAGGAGATGCGTGGGCTGCTTCGAAAGTTCATCCCCGACACACTGTGAGCCTTGCGGGGAGCGCTGCTTGATGTGTAGCTGCGGCTCTGCCTGATCATCTGAGGCCCGCCCATGGTGCTATGGCTGTGGAACATGATGGCTGATCTGCTGGTGAAGAGAGAACTCGAGGAGAGAGGACCGTTATACAGCTGTAGACGGAAGCAGGACTGTGGAGTGTGATGGAGGGAGGCCTTGATATAGAGCTGGACCTGGGGCGGGCCCGGCTGGGAGGAAGGGAGGGAGGTGGAGAGGGTAGGAGGGAGGTGGAGAGGGTGGGAGGGAGTTTTCCTTCACTGTTCAGCCACGGTCTTGGCAGAATCTCCATTTGTTTTCCTCTGAAGACCAGGGTTAGGTTTCTTTCCCTCCCTGTGAGGAAACTGGTATGGAATGTGTGTTTTTCTTCTTCTGTGTGTGAGGGTCCGTAAGGGTCAGTCGGGATCTGTCTAAGTGTTTCTGTCTCCATCTGCATGTATGATTTTAGTATGCTTTCATAAATACTTCTACTCTCGATCTTACCAGTCATTTGTATCCTAAAATAAACAGTAAAGTTGTGCGGTTTGTTAAGCGTCCCGCCATGAGTCAACATTAAGTGTTGCCCTTTACGATAAGTTACAGTCGAGTTAGTCCAGATGAAACATTTGATTTCACAGTCAATATGTGCACCTTCATTATAATGTACTTCCAAACGGATTTCATGAAGTACTTGTTTGCAAATGCATTATGCATTCAGCTTTATGCATTACTCTTTGAGTGGCATAAAAGAGGTAATTCCTTATTGAAACTTGGTAGCCTTGAACCACAAACCATGCTGAGTTGTTTTCCATGTTTTCAGTCAAACCCATCTAAGGGAATTTGAGAGAACCCATTGTTCACCATAGAACACACAACACCCCCCCCTCTGTCCTGTATCCTGTGTGTGTGTGTTGTGTGTGTGTGTGTGTGTGTGTGTGTGTGTGTGTGTGTGTGTGTGTGTGTGTGTGTGTGTGTGTGTGTGTTTGTGTGTGTGTGTGTGTGTGTGTGTGTGTGTGTGTGTGGTGTGTGTGTGTGTGTGTGTGTGTGTGTGTGTGTGTGTGTGTGTGTGTGTGTGTGTGTGGTGTGTGTGTGTGTGTGTGTGTGTGTGTACTCTGCACTCTGCTTATCTCAGAGTTGGGCTCTGGCCAACATCCATACTCTTGTAATGTAACATCTGGTGTCAGCTGGGGGGAGGTTAGGGAGGCACATGGGTTCACCTCTCAGTGAGGGGAAGAAGTGAATCATGCTGTGTATACTCAACCGCATTACATCATTTACCAAACAAATGGGGCTCTTGATCACAGATACTTGTGGAAAACGTTGAGTTTTTCGCCTGAACATTTACATGTAAACCACAAGCGCATGTTCTCAACCTCCACTTACTCTACTTTAAAGGGTTAGTTTGTTTGAAGTACTTATCCATTGTCATTGTAACCATACAGTCAGGAGGGGTGTCTCATGGCAAGGTAAAGTGGTGAAAATATTCTAAATAAAGAGTACACTTAAAGCGATATTTAATTGTTTGAGGTATATTTAGCTTCTGCTCTGTCCGAAGGAGCACATACTGTAGCACAGCTTCCCTGCTGGTACTCCTGTTTCTCCAAACTAAAGGCGTGCCAAATGTTGTCTACTGTAAAAATGGACAGACTGTGGATGATTCATACAACCCCACCTCAAACAACACAAACTATCCCTTTGTTAAAATGATAATCAGTAACCTCTCTGAATATGTGAGTACATAATAACTTGGATAACAATAGGTCTACTGCAGGCGACAGGTTCCTTTAGCTGTAGCCTACATTTTGAAAGAACAGTTGTACAATTTGGCAAATACAATATTTCGATTTTATTTCAGTACCTTAAATATGAAGGGGAGACTCGCTATAGACGTAGCTTTAAACCTTTGCTGCGAGAGTCACATGAACAACGGGAGTATCTAAATTAGCATGCTTACTTTCTTCTGATCGCGATTGGCTGTGGGATCTGTTACGATGTAACTCACAGACATCACTGGCTATCAGTTATACAATGTTTTTTTAATGACTTTTTTATGTAAACATTGTTCCAGGTAATATATTTCAGTGGTAAATGATTTTTTATCGCAATAGAACTTTATTGCCTAGGCTATTTATCACTTGACTTTTTTGCTGTAGATTGTAAGGGTTGGTCAAGAGTCTCCCAATATACTGTAAGGGATGGAGCGAAAAACTTTTGGTTTTGTACCTTTACCTTTTTCGATCTACCTTTGAAAAACGTTGTTATTTTTAAGGCAGATATTGCCTTGGCCTGCAATCGTCCATGTGTGACTGTGCCCTTATGCTAAGCTAAGCTAACCAGTTACTGACTCTAGCTTCCATAGCCGCTTTCACACCGCAGGACTTGCGGTACTTTAGTGCCGGCACTAAAGTACCACGGCACTGAATCCGCCAGGGGGCTAGTGCCATAGCCGCATTCACACCGCAGGACTTTCCCTGAGGCAAGATTACGCTGACGTCACTTCGTCTTCTTCTTCTCTGGGTTTACTGGCAGGCCGCAAAACCACTTCACGGCGAGTACAACAAAAAACGAGAGAAGAAGAACTACACGGGGGAGGGGGTATAAAGCCCACCCGCTGTATGAGGCGTTTGTTTACTTTCCGACCTCAGACATGATGGAGTTCAATGAGCTTGTTGTCTTTGTGCTCATGTTATACAGCTTTGTAACTGGGTTATTGCAGCCAACTAGGGATTTGACCCACTCGTCGGATGCTGTAAGTGCAATGCTGGTTCGGAATCGAAGGCGGTTAAAAAGCTTTCGGAAAAGGATTGGACGACGAAAGGCACACACTATAGCCATGTTTCGCCGTAGGATGGCTGATGACGATCAGCGTTTTCACGCCCTAAGAACAGCGATGGTAAGTTCAGTAAAATCACATGAATACTACGTAGGATTTGTGGAGATATGTAGAGCTAATTTGTGCCTTTGTATGTGTTCCAGATATGCCAATACTACGGAGCGCGTCGTGTCCCACGCTCTCTCTGGGTGAACAATAGAACATCGGCCTGGTGGGAGACGGTGGTGCCAACGTACACCGATGAGCAGTGGATGAAAGATTTCCGAATGTCCAAGCAATCTTTCAAATACCTAATTTGTTGCCTGGGAGCAACGTTGGGGAGAAGCGACACCAACTTCCGGGAGTGTGTCCCTGTCCCTAAAAAAATCGCCTTGGAAACTTGCAACCAACTCAGAGTACAGGACCATCTCTCATTTGTTTGGAGTCGGCATCTCTACGGTGTGTTGCTGTGTGCAGGAGTTCTGCTCCTCTGTTGTGAGCCTACTTCTTCCTGAGTTTATGCCATGGCCGAACTCTGAGAAGTTAGAGGAGATGGTGTTAACTTTCGAGTGCAAATGGGGTGTGCCACAGTGTGTTAGTGCAGTAGATGGATCACACATCCCCATTATGAGACCAGAGGAATACCATAACGAGTATTTCAACCGCAAAGGCTGGCACTCGCTCGTCCTGCAGGGTGTTGTGGATGCTAGGGGCCTCTTTTGGAGTGTTTTTGTTGGCTTACCAGGTAGCATGCATGATAGCAGAGTGTTCAGCACTGGTTAGTTTTGTGGATAGGGGTGGTCTACTTCCTCATGTAACGAGGAATATTGGGGGACATGATGTGGGTTACTATATCCTTGGTGACTCAGCCTACACCCTGCAAAGATGGCTGATGAAACCTTTCCAGGACAATGGAAGGCTCACACCCGAGCAACGTGTGTACAACTTCAAAACAAGCCGAGCACGAGTGGTGGTGGAGAATGCTTTTGGCAGACTGAAGGGAAGGTGGCGCTGCTTGATGAAAAGAAACGACTGCAACATTGACAAGATCAGAACCCAGGTGGTAGCATGTTGCATATTACATAACCTGTGTGAGAGTAATGGTGATGAATACAGGGATGAATGGACTGCCTTACCAGCGGCGACCCAGCTTGATGTGCCAGCCAATATTGGCGAGGCTGGGGGGAAAGAAATGCGCACAGCCCTTATGAGGCATCTCAACATCGATTAAATTGTATATTGTAAATTGACAATAAAATCTTTTGATCTTTTGTACAGTGCATTTGGTTCTCTCTTTTATTTACCACATTCAAGACGGGCACAATTACAATAGTGCAGACACACCTTTGTGCAAAGATAATATGTCAGTATCAAAACAGTGTGGCAATATAATAACAAACTGCCAGGTGTCGTATGCACAGTAAATAGGCTCAGCAGTTAACACACCTTTATTATATATCCTCCTGAGAGGAACTCGGTACACTAACTCCTAAGATGTTCCCTTACTATAATTAATTAAAATATTGAACTCACAACACTGGTAATTACAAACTTAACTATTTCTCTTTCAATAAATAGTGCTTGTGTTGATGGACGCCATTTTGAAATACAATGAAATTATCTATTTCAAAGCCACATATTGTGGGTGGGACACAATAACTAAAGCTTCGCCAGTTTATAACCGATGAAACATGGTATCAGAATAATCACTTAAATGTGATGTATAGGATGCTACACAGGTCACTGTAAAGATAGTGTCAGAGGAGAAATAAGCAAGATACATTATCTGTTAAATCGCCATGTAGGTTATCTTTTATTTATCAGCAGCAGATCAATAAGTGTCAGTATCAAAATATAACAGTGGCAATATATATATAATAGGTAGGCTCAGCAGACAGACCGTAGTGCAAAGATAAAGTGTCACATGATTATCTACTAAATAGTGAATTCAGCATCAACTTCACCAAGATGAAGTTCAAAACAATGTAACAGTGGCAATATATATAGCAGCAGACACACCTTAGTGCAAGTTAGGTGTCAGTATAAAAAAACAGTGGCAATATATATATATATAATAATAATAGAAAATCAACTTAAATAAAATGTACCCAAAAAAAAATACACTTGTAAAAAATATATAAAAATAGCACTGTAAGAGTTGAACTGTGGGCTAAGCCCTGAATGTTTCCAGGTCCAGGAAACACCGCTGTGTGTCAATATTTAAAACAATACTACAGGGAGGAAGGCCTGTTGGATTTCACTAGCTCTGAAAGCACTCCCAGAAACCCCTGCTGAAAAGCCTTTTGTTGCTCCATTTGCTGCCCCATTTGCTGTGCCAAGACTGCGTCCCGTTCATCCTGGCGCTCCATCATCGCAATCACCCTGTCCTCTGTTTCCTGGGCCTTGTGTAAAAGCATCATCTGGTCCTCGTGCATCGCCTTGCTGGCCATGGCACGCCTGTCCTCCATAGTCTCGACGGTGGCAAAGAAGTTCTCATCATGTGTGTCCCGTGCGCGCTTTCCTAAGAGGAAACATTATTTAATCACCATGTAGTTTTACAGGCAGAAGGGACACGGTCAGGCTGTTAGGGCTATTCTGTCTGATAGGGTTAGGCACACAGACACACACACACACACACACATACACACACACACTCACAGACACACACAAAGACAAAGACATAAACACACACACAGAGAGAGAGACACACACGTTACGTTTTCTTACCGGAAGTCATGTGACCTAGCCCGGATGTTTGCAATTTTGTGAGCGTAAAATGGGTGCGAAAAGTGTAAACGCCTGCCTAGGCAAACACGTTTTCCACGGTGTTTCATAATTCATAATTGTACCATGAAGGAAGTAAACGTGATTGTGAAGCTACAGTGTGTGTGAACGTACTTTTGCGTTTGGTTGATGGAAAGGGAGACGAGCAACGGCTGCCGTTGCGATCGGGAAAGGAAAGTCCAGTTTCCAATCCTGCGAGTTGTCCCGCCTCGCCTGAAACAAACAAATGTAGTGCCATGAGTTAGTGAAGCACATTACAGAAAACACTGCCCACTTATTCACAAGTCAAAACGTTTTCATGGCGGCCGAGAATAGCTAGTTAGATGTTATGTTATTAGCCAGCTCAGGGCCGGTTAACAGTGTTAGCCAGTTCAGCCTGCTCATGGCTACCTCGATCTACTGAGCAAATAAAAGTACATCTGAGACCAGTAATGTGCATATTAAAAACCCCAGTACAAGTAGTTTATTTTACCTTCGTCGTTGTCGTCGTTGCTCACTTCACAGCCGACTGAATCCGCCATTTCAGCGAGCTCCCACAGCAGCGTACCTGAGTCGATGGTCGCCGTTGTCCCGGAGAACGAGGGTCTCTGGCCGAGCAGATCATCCAAGCGCTCGTACCATTTACTGGTCTTTCTATCGTTACCACTTTTATTATTGTGATCTTTAATTTTTTTATAGTCCTGCCTGAGTTTCTTTATTTTTACCCGGCATCAGTGTGCACTGTGCACGATTCCCAGCTCAAGTAGCTTTTGCGAACATCGCTCAAAATATTTAGAGTTGGGAACTGCTTTCTGTAGAAGCTGCTGCATCCCGTCCTCGGAGTAAATTGCCAGAAGCGCCGACACTTCCTCATCATTCCACCGCTCCGGTGTTGTACGTGTAGTCATGCTTTAAAGTACAAACAATCTATTCGCTCAGGTGTGGATGTGGTTTTGTAGCGAGGAAAAAAATGGCTGCCTAACAAAACAAATTCAGAGTCTAACGGGGCGTGGTTTGCAATTCGCCCAGCCAATAGAAATAGAATAGAAATTGGCACTCTTTTATCACCAGGTTCGTACCACCTCTCTAGCAGGGACTGAAAATGGCCAAAAGAGTTCCCGGCACTGAGTAGTCCCGGCGGTGTGAACGCGACATTATTGGTACTAACGGAACTAAAGAACCAAAGTACCAGGGAAAGTCCTGCAGTGTGAATGCGCCTCATGCAAGAATAATGTCAACTTTATAAATTAATGGTAATCAAATCGCTCATAGGTAAGTTTCCCAAAATGTTTAAATATACCTTTAGTGATCCACACAACGCAACATCTTACTCCAGACTAATTATTTTCTCAAATATCCACGACAGTGGTTGGTCAGGTTTTCCCCTTTTCAGCCTGTGTGTGTCATCATGGAAAAAAGTGCTCCTGGAGGCACCAATCCTAGCAGGACCAAGCACAACATTTTGCTTTTGAGTACTTTACCAGGAGTTTATATTTGTGTCCCCCGCTGACAGATTATGTCAACGCAATTGGATCATAAGCAAGGTGGTCTCTAGTTCTAAAAATCTTGAATAATTCTGAACTTGGGAAATAACTTTTATAACATGAACTTAATCATTTAACAGAAGGATTTTTATGGAATGGGGGAGTTGAAACAGACTAAAAATATAACATGGGTCGAGGCCCAAAATGTTCAATATGTGTGTCCCTGGGTGATCTTGCCTTCATTGGAATCAAAAACAAGTCAAGGCAAGTATATTTGTGCAGACCTTAATGGCTGTTATGCATAATCTCAGTGGGCCTGTCAGCACCCACGTAATGAAAACATCAGAGAAAAACAACTCCAAACTAAGACCCATGTTGAGAACTAGATAAGGGGGAAAATACATTAAAACCTGGGTGGTGCTGCTAGCTGTCTCGTGGGTGGGGGAAGGGGCAAAGTCTCTGCAGGCTTGTGCAATGTTTACAGGTGAAACCCACTTGTAACTGCCGTTCACTGTTACAAGTGTCCATGCCATGTTAATTCATCACAGTTAATCATTGGCTATGTTGGCACAAGTTGTGAGAAACGGGAAGGGACAGGCACATATCTTGCTGGTTTGGTTGCTGGTTTGGTTGTCTCTGTGTACAGTAGGAGGAAGATAAATGATGAGTTCTATGGGCTTGATGGAGGTTTTCACTAAAAGCAACCGCTTGATTCAATGGTTGACTCAACTTCACTCTACAATCTTACATGAAACAGTGCCACTTTGTGTTTTTTATGTATTTTAATTTAAGCATTCATGCAACCATTTTCAGTTATTCCGTAATTACAATGTTGAATGATTGTGTGACGTGTAAAGTCTGTATTTTTACAGCACCTCATTTGAGCTCTCAGCCCCAGATTAAGGTATTTTTTTGTATTAAACTCAGCAGGATTGAGTACAAAGTCTGTGATGAATATTTACACAAAACAGAGGGAGCTTACAAGCCTGCAGGAAAATTGAAGCTTAAAATAAACAGACATAATCTTATATTTAATCACTGATTATTGAGTTGAATGCTATTATGCTTTCCTTCTAACTTATTCATCTAAATCGTAAGATGTCTCCACATGTCCTTTGTGGGAGTTATTTATGCATAGCAAGTAATAAACTGTGACTCATACAATACTATTCCAACTACTCCTCCTTTGAATGCTACTGCTAACTGATACATGCATGTAAAACTGAAGATAAGATTTCCACGATAAAAAATCAGATATTGCATTTAAATTCCGATTTATGGTGCAGCTTGTTAATTATTTTGTGATGTGTATGATGATTATATAATATGTGGGGACTCTGTTTTTAAGGATAGAACATTAAAAAAAATAATGAGTTATTTGACTTATTAATATATAAATATCCTGGTCAAAATCGCCTTTTATTGTAGTAAGTAGAGTCACAATGAACTAAAACAGGGAGGTTACTTCTGGCAAAAACAGTTCAATACTTAATTTATGCTGTGATTGAGTTTCCATCTGTCAGCTGTAAGAACACAGTGACTATACAATTAAAAAACAAAGGGAGTCTAGACTCAAGAAGACATAAAGGGAAGTTCCCTGCTCTGCATTTTACTTTGACATACTGTATAACCTAAAACAGCATTACAAAAATCCACTATTTGTTTGCAGCATAGCAACAGTGTGTATGTGTCACAACTGGTGTATTGTCTTGAGGTCCGGATGGATTGGATTCCTGCACCTGAGCGCAGACGACTACAGCGCCCGCGCCTTCCTGCAGTCGGTGTGGGAGTTGGCATGCCTTCCCATGTTATTCACAAACTTCTCACTTCCTTTAAAGAAAAAAAAAACTTATCATATCATGTCATGGCACATCCAACAACCTTTGTTCTCTTGTTTTACTACATTTAGGGTTGTCACTGTGGTTTGTATAAGTGCCTTTGCATGACCAATTTACTAGTTGACATTTTACTTCAAAGCAACACCTTGTATTTTACCAAAAGCAACTCGATAGCATGTAGCTAAGTACAATTTATCGATGAACAAGGACATTTTACAATTAACATGAGCTGAAAACAAACTTAAAAGAATCAAAATTGTAAGACACGCCCAAACTGGTCAATGTGGTGGTAACTGTAGAAAGATAGCACACCATAAAAGATACATTGCTTTATTATATAATAACATTTACAAAATTAACATTATTCTGTAGAGGACTCATACTGAAATTGCAATATAAACCATAAAGGAAATTAGGAACATGTTTATTAAGGTAACAATCAAATAGGAGGTAATTTTCTCATAGACTTCTATACAATCAGACCTCTTCTTCCAGTGGAGTCGCCCCCTGTTGGCCATTAGAAGCAGGGCAGGGTTTTTCATCGTAGCCCTCCACTCCTCTGGGGCCTCATTTATAAAGGGATATACGGTCAAAAAATGGCGTACGCCAGTTTCTACGCAATGTTTGCGATTTATAAAATACTAACTTGGCGGGAAAACGTGCGGTCCTCCACGCAAACTCTAATCCATGCGTACGCACTAAGCACAAAAACGGGAGAGACGAGAAACTGCGACACCGTTGGCAGAAGGAAGAATGGAGAGAAATATGTGTAAATAATACCATAAATAAAATGTTACCTCTCATTTATCATATATGAAGAATTTATTTTCACAAATTGATTAAAGCCAATCTTAAAATGATTTAACAAACGCCTGTTTGAGACTCCTCAGTGCACACAAAAACATAACTTGGAGAAATAAATAAATACGGATATGTTATTTAAAACCACCTCGAATATGTTGTGTTAATGTCAGTGTGCGAAAAAGTACACGTCCCACCGTCCGGGACGTGTTATTTACAATATCGGACAAGTAGATCTTTCAATTGACTTGTCCGGTGGACAAGTGACGTTTTTCGCCCCGATTTATTGATACATTCAGTTTACAAAAGGCAGAACTCATTCGCAAATTGTCCGTGTCCGCCATTGTTCGTTTAGAAATGTTAGTTTCGGTTCTGCTTGTCGATTCCTAAGGAAATGCATCTCGACGCTTTCTGTACAGTTAGACGGGGCGGGGCGCGGCGGGACGTGTAGCACAGTGGCAGGGTTGGGAAGCAAAACTCGGTTCCGAGTAGGAACAAATAACAATTGTCCGGTACCGGGATTAATAAGAGTTGTGAGGACAGGAGGCGAGGCCGAGCCCCAGCGGACTGCAGCTCTCTCTCTCTCTCTATGCTCCGTATCAGCTGATCGCTGCATGGTGCAGCTCAGCGTCTCTCTCTCTCATCTTTGTCAAACTTTCTTATGTTCTTTCTCTAACACGTAATGAAGGTTATTAAGCGTTTTAGCTCCTGTGTTGTTAATATGGACCGCCATTTCCTTTATGAAGTAAAGCAGCCTCCCTGTCTGTGTCCTCGCGCTGTCCTCACATCCACGGACCCCCAGACTCGGAGGAGCACAGGGATGTCAGTATTGTTTATGAAGCAGGGTATAGAAAGTACATTATTGAAATGAAAATATTATTTATTTACTTTTACAAACAGTGAGCAGCTGGGCAGCTGCAGCATGTGTATTGCAGGACATGTGTAAGCATGCAAGCGTCTTTGAGTTGTAGAAAAGCGCTAGGCCTATAGGCTATAAATATAATGTATTATTATTATTAGGTTATGTCCTATGTGTTGGACATGTGTGGTTGGACTCTGTCTCACAGGCAGGTTGCAGTGTAACATCAGAGGAGACTGGGCCAATTGTACATTCTCAAACTGCACCACTTAGAACTAACTAAACAATGCAGAGATTATTTTTATATAAATTGTATTCAATAACCGTAAGAAATTCAACAGTATGAAGTGATTTGTAAATAGGAATACAGATTTGACTTAATGTTTTCATAAATATATTTTTCTCCCAGTTTGACTTATTTTGACCCTCTCAAAGAACCGGAATCGAGAACCGAAAATAACCGGAATCGAAAAGCAGAACCGGAATCGTTAAAATCCAAACGATATCCAACCCTATGTGTGATGCAGTAAAATCTTACCGCTCACTTACGTTAGCGGTGTCGTAAAAACCGTGGGAAAATGTAAAATACGATGACGAAGAAGAAGATTCCAGTGGCCCCAATTTTTGTCCATTCTGGACAAGTGAAAAATGTATTCGGACAAGTAAATTGCCAAACTCACTTGTCCATGGACAAGTACTCTCTAAAAACTTTTTCTCACACTGAATGTTATGAAATGTTTTCTCATAAATGATGCGGTAAGCAGGACAGAATTACGTCTAAACTGACGCCGTTTTGCATTTCTATAGGTTGTAGATACGAGCATGGTTTTATATACTATCATGTTTAATCGTGTTTTATGCCGTTTGCCAAGACTTGATAAGTCGCTCGTAAAACACAGGAGGTATGGAAGCTAAGAACACCATATGTGGTAAATTGTACAGTTAATATAACACAACACATTAGTTGTATTTCCTTCGACTGGTGGATATAGAGTTGCTGCACTACAGGCTTCAGTGGAGACGCTGCGCACAGCTGATCGACAGCTGGGGACGCAAACCACCAAATACAAAAACATAATTCAGATTCAGTCGTCATGACTCCACTCCGGGGGGATTCCCCGATCATTTCTTACAGTTTCTCATCAAGGGTGTCTGTCCCCGGTACAAACACACTGCCTGAGAAAGGCTATGTGTATTTTTTTTGTCATTAACCTTTTTCGGACTTATTTATTTATTTTGGTGACGATCCGACCTCCATGCTGCTACTCTGGTTCAAACTGCATCCACCAAACAATATGATTTATCTCGACCTCCCCAAAATAACCAAAATCTGACACGGTGTGAGATGTCTTTTTTAGCTGTTCTGTCGTCATTTCCTGCTATCTTCTTCATAAAGTCAGTCAGAATTAAAACTGCGGTCACAGACGTGCACGCAGTTGTGGGCGGGCCTTCGCGTCCGAGCGCCTGTAGGGGAGGGTCGCCGGTCGTCCCGGCGTCAAGCAGACGCGCGCGTGTCCTCCGAAATGAGCCGTTCGTCATTTCTCAAACGTTCGGGTCCCGGGCTCCCAGGTCTTCCGGCAGCGACCGGGAAACGTATGTGGGCTCGCCGCCTCGAAGGAAAACACATTTCCGTATAGGCTCGTCGACGATCGATTATCGCGGAGGCTGTCTGGAGGAGCCTTAACCGTGGCGTGCGGTGCAGTGGGTTGTGCAGACGTTCTGCCCTTGACCGTTTGTTTACTCGATAAATGCATCTCCTCTGGATATTAGGCCATGTATGTTCCATACCAGTGGAGTTTGCTTTTTGTGGTTGTGTTTATTGATCAAAAAGCAAACCTTCAATACAGCTGTTATGTGGTCAAGGTAAGTAAAGTAATGATTGAAGCTGTGTATTGGTTAATATTAGCGTATGACTTAAAATGTAGTCTCAACATATGTATTGTACTGTATTACAGGATGAAAGTCATCAGATATAATTGTAAATAGCATGCTATGTAATTTAAAAGATCATGTTAGCAGGGCAGTGGTGTTTGTTCTCGGCATGAAAGAGGTCTCCATTCCATTTCTAGTAAGACATGTAGGTGATTAGGTAAGGTGTGGGTGAGAAGAGAAATTAAGACAGTTTGTATGTGAAATGGAAAAAAAATGTATTTGGGCTTGAAATAGTGTATGCAATGAAACGGAATGATTGTTTTTGTCTGGGAAGTCAGATGTGTTTGCAGATTAGGTATAGAATATGTGGGAATGTGGATTGGTGCTGATAACGTCAGACCTTTTTGCTGACTGTGGAACAACCTGTGGAAATGACTGTAAATTAAGTAGGGTTAGGTGCAAGATGTCACAGAGTTGGTTAGTGTTTGTTGTGGATGGAGTTGACAGTGTTGAAAGCAATGGCGTGCCTCTCCTTGTGTACGCATATAAAGACATAACATATATATAGTCACACATTACTCCTAACAAGTCGCTCTGGTACTGACAACAGTTATGTGGGACTCGGCAGGGATTAAGGCACTTTGTATACCTGTCCCTGCTTCCGTTGTGTACACACACACACACACACAACCAAATCACACCAATACCAATAAATTACTGTGAGTGTTCTTTGTCAGTTACAGAAATGGAACTGTTGAAGGTTAGGACTGCTTGGGTATGAAACATTGAACTGCTTCATGAGTACTGAAGTACATTGGCTTGACTTTGGTTTCCGACAGATATTGAGTTGTATTTGTGACATATAAAGATTGTAAAGATTAGTAAGATGTTTATGTGATGACTTTGACACATTTAAACTCAATGAGGAAATGCAGTAGCATTCACGCTAGACTTAGCTTACATGGTGCCGTTGCCCATACTAAACAGATACATGCCTATTGCACAGCTAGTAGGGCTGCACGATATTGAAAAAAAACTGACATCGTGATTTTCCCCCCCCCTGCGGTATATATTGTTTTTTTTTTAACCTGTTAAGTCCCAAAGTCCCGGCGGGTCCTTTACTTTTTTTTTTCATGACACTGTGTCTCAGGGGATCTTAATATTTAAGAATCTATTAATGTGTTATACCAGATTAACGGAAATAATCTCAGCTAACTGACGATACAAACCATTTTTACCAAAACAAAACACAAGTCTCATAAGAAGCATCTAAATGACCCCTGAGCGAAAATGCTAACGCACTTTGGCACAGAACTCAAGATAAAAGTACGCTTATTACTAGTTATCGTAGCTGCACATACAAGATATCCGATTAAAGCTCTGAGGTTCCACAGATTATTTAGGTATATAGTATCATCACTGAGTGATCCGAACTCGGACAGGGGAAGCAAACACAGACA